TTTTTTTTTTAGCAAAATACCAGATATGGGTATTAGCGTTATATGGGGGCTATACGATAATTTGTTCCCAATATGAAAGTTGATGATCCCAATGAAGACCCCAATTTATTTCCTTAAATTCCTTAATACGAAGTTATAATTAATTCCGTTGGAAAATATTGTCAACAACTGAAAAAATACCTAAAATGGAATGGTACAATTAAAGGGTGGGATAAAAAAATGCAACAAAGTTAAACGCCACAGTTTTCACATTTTTTTTAAATTTTATTGAATGAAAGCAAACAAGTAAAAAAACATTAAGTTCGGCCGGGCCAAACTTTTAATACCCTCCACCTTAGGGTAAAGGAAACATTAGAAGAAATGTGGCAAAAACCATTAAAATGCCGAATATCGGGAGTTACCGTTATATGGGGGCTCTACCAAATCGTGGACCTACACATGCAAGGTTCCGCCAACGGAGCTAGAACCCATTATGACCTACAAATACCAATTTTCAGACAAATACGTGAACAAAGGGGGCAAAAATCATCAAATTACCGAATATCGGGAGGTACCGTTATATGGGGGCTATACCAAAACGTGGACCTATAATTACAATGACTCGCCACACGAACTGGGACCCATTATCATCTACAACTACCAAATTTTCAGTGAAATTCGTGAAAAAATCAGTCAAAAATCATCAAAATACCGAATATTGGGAGCTACCGTTATATGGGGACTATACCAAAACCTGGACCTATACCTACAGTGTTTGGCCACACGAACTAGGACCCATTATGACTCACAAATACCAATTTTTACACAAATCAGTGAAAAAATGTTACAAAAACCATCAAAATACCGAATATCGGGAGGTACCGTTACATGGGGGCTATACCAAATCCTTGACCCATACATGCAATGTTTCGCCACCGGAGCTGGAACTCATTATGACCAACAAATACCAATTTTTAGACAAATCCGTTAAAAACTGTGGCAAAAATAATCAAAATATCGAATATCGATATATACCATTATATGAAGGCTATACCAAAACGTGGACCTATACATGCTATGTTTTGCCACACATACAGGGACCCGTTATGACCTACAAATACCAATTTTCAGACAAATCCGTTAAATAATGTGGCATAAATCATCAAAATACCGAATATCGGGAGGTACCGTTATATGGGGACTATACCAGAACGTGGACCGATATATCTCATACCAACCATCCTAGACACAATACCAATTGCTCTGCTAAATTTTTGCTCTCTACGTCAAATAATGTGGGCTGTATCGTGATTTCAACAGACAGACGGACAGACAGACGGACATCGTTAAATCGACTTAGAATTTTATGCTGATTATGAATATATATACTTTATGGGGTCTACGACGAATATTTAAGGATGTTACAAACGGAATGACAAAGTTAATATACCCTCCTTTCCAAGGTGGAGGGTATAAAAATGTCGGAAATAGCATCAAATTTTGGAATAAGTTTCGATTTGTTCGAATTCGTCACCTTTGGCACGAATTATGGCCTTCAAACGGCCAATGAAACCGTCAGACGCTGCCCGAATGTTGCTCTGCGGTATTTTGGTCCATTCCCGGCAAAGCGCCTGCTTGAGGTGATCGACACTTTGGTATTTTTTAATGCCAACCTTGCTTTCCAAAATACTCCAGACACAATAGTCCAATGGGTTGGTATATGGAGATTTAAGTGGCTATGAAAATGGTGGCGCTGGAAATGAAGTGTAACCATTCTTGGGTGGCGCGTACTGAGTCCTTTTGGAATGTCCAAGGTCTGCGAACAAAATGTTCGCGTGCCCAAGGCTTTTATACACCCTCCAGAATATTTTCGCGATAATATTCGGCAATTATTCTGATGCCACGGTCGATTAATACGAGTCGAGAGCGACCATCGGCTTTTATGGCGGCCCAGACCATCACCATGGCCGGCGCTGGATTTCTGGTGATCAACCGAAGGTGCACATTTTCAGGTGACCTCTTTGGTAAACACGATTATTTTGTTTGTTTGTAAACTGCTGGACAACGAATGTTTTCTCATCGGAAAGAATTAAATTCGGCAACTCTTTAGCTCTTTTGAGTCTATTTTCTTTCTGTTGCGGTGTAAGTCCTTGCACTTTTTGGAATTTCAATGGCTAGACTCCGAGCTTATTTTTAAATATTTGCCGAATAGAATATTGCGATGTGTTCAGCTCACGAGCCATTTTCGGCCACTGCGATACGGGTTTCGATCAAGTCGCTTCTTTAATTTTCGAACCATTTCTGCTGATGTTGCTGTTTTCTTCCGTCCACTTCCTTGACGTTCGGGCTACGCTACCAGTATCACGGCAACGAGCGATGATACGAGACTCAAAAGATTTATTCACATTTAATTGCTGAAGTGCTCTTACGATAGCCACTTGCGGTTTTCCAGCCAAATATAAAGGAATCACGCTGTCACGCTTGAATTCCATCACAAATAACTTTTTCTCTGTAAAACTCTCACCAAAATGCTTTTGTACGCTTGTGAACAATATAACAAGTAAGCAAAGGCTATAGTCGTGCGGTGCCGACCATGTGATACCCTACAACACTACAATATGTTCGAAGTCCCCTTATATCCAAATCCATTTTGGAAGATTTTGTTTTTGAAATAATGTCAAAGAGCTCCGCCCAGAGGTTACCCTTAGTTTTTTGGCCCGAAGAATTTGGCAAAAGTTGTGAAAGTTGTGGTCCATTTTACAGCTAAATGCATTTCAATGGTCATCCAAAATGCTAGACTTCTTCCCTGTCCTTAACTCTCTTCCGATGCGAAATTCCGTGTCGATTAGTTTCAATTGTGGCCTATAGAGCGACTACAAAATTAGAAAAAAATAATTTTTTCTAGTCCATTTGCACCTCTTAATGTACATCTTTAGAACAATAGGTTTTAATTCTGACCCTACCCCCATGCCAAATTTCGTGAGGATCGGACGATAATTGCGACACGCATATAATACCCTCAAAACGTAGTGTTAAAGGGTGTAAACATTTAGAAAATTTACAATTCAAAATTGTAAGTCAAATTGAAAAAATCGCATGCGATAAAAAATGTGACAAAAAATATTCAATTTTTTATTGGTATATTTTTCCGCGATTTTCTTAGATTTTCTGGCAAAGGACCATTCCGAATTGATGGAAATTGTGAAAATCGGCCCAGCGGTTCTTGATTTATAAGCAGAATAAATAAGATCAATTCTTCAATATTGTACCTATTTTGCTATATATCCGATTTCTTGGCTTTTAGAATCACTGTAATGGTCAGAAGTGATCTTTTAATGCATTTGTGATTTGGCTGGGGTTGAAAATATTCGCGGTTTAGTGGAAATTTTCCCATTTTCTTACATAAAAGTTATGGTCTATTTTACCCGCTAATTATTGTCTGATGGCCGCCCAAATTGGTAGGTTTCTGCCTCCTAAACTCTAACTCCATATAAATTTTCACGTCGATTGGTTCATAATTGTGACCTATAGAGCAACTGCGATCATCTCCAAAAGCAATAAGGTTATAATTTGACCATAACCCCACCTCCATTTTCAATTTCGTGAGGATCGGGCCATAATTGCGATTTGTAGCCTGATTACAAATATGGACAGACGGACGGACGGACATACATAGCTAGATTAACTCAGCTCGGCGAGATAGGAAGATCCCTATATACTTTCCTATGTGGGAAACCAATATTTCGAGGTGTTACATAATTTTTGGCCAAATCAAACTTATAATACCCCCAATACATAGTTTTGTAGGGTATAATGCACTGTCTCTGGAATAATTTTAACAGCTGTTGAACGAGTGGCTTAGTAATGACAGCAGTTAGAAGTTGGTTGCAGTTTTTTCTATCTCAACCTGTATAGTTTTCTTTACTTTTGTGTACCTCTTTGTCCGTATTTTTACAAAACCCCATCTAAACAGCTACTTTTATGAACAACATCAAGATTCTAGCCCTAGCCGTGGCATGTGTAAGTCCAAGAAAAGTTTAAGAATTGTAGCTCTCCTCATTTTCAATTCGTTACAATAAATACAATAATTACTACCTTTAAGTACTAAATTATAAAAACCCCCAACCTTATCTAATAATCCGCATCAATAGTGACCCATCTGCAACTTTTGAAGATTCCAGCTCCAAAAAACTACATTTTTTGTCCAAATAGACATTTTTAGTACCTTAAGTATCGTTTTTAGTACAGATTTCCAAAAGCTTGACATTATCTGATGTCTTATATAAATGGAGATCTACATATAAATTTTGAACATTTTAGTCCCACAACTATAGGCATTAGGCCCAAAATTACAATTTTAGTACGAATTTTCACAAAAATCAACCTTAAAGGGCTCCAAGAGCTAGCAACATGGCAAATTGCAAGATTATGGTTTCCCCTGCCATTCACTTAGCAAACAATTTCCCCTTTATTACAATGTAATGTATAGAGATTACTTTTTCCATAAATTATCACACCACTCCCCATAATATGTGAGACAAAAAATAGAAAAAATCCCCAAAATGATCGACAAAATAAGAAGAAAAAAAAAAAAAACAAAGAACGAATTAAAGAAGCCATGCTAGACAGATAACACAGCACGGAGAGATCATCCCAAACATACGAAATGATTTCGGGTGATTTCAACGTTTAGTGTCGCTCTATTGAGTTCAATAGAAAATTATGGAAAGATAACAACAGCAGCAGAACAAACACAAACACAAAGCCAAGCCAGGCGTCAATCCACTTTGATTTCGGTTTTGCTCAAAGTGACGGTGGCGATGGCGGCCTTCGCACAAGCCGCAAAATACAACGATTGTTATTGTTGTTGATTTTCGTTTTTATTTTGTGTGTTTGTTTGTTGGTTTGTTTACCTTTCGACGGGTGTCAGTTCGGTTTAATCTCATCTCTCGCACTCTCCAATGTCCGTCTCTGGGTTGTTATTTTTGCGTCCGTCCATGCCAACGATGTCAAAAAATTCAACGATCACAGATCAGTTTGTGTTGAAACCTCTTGGAAAGCAGATCATTTTCTTTAAAACCCGTTTGTGGTAAAGTGTAGAAACTTGACATCTGTCAAAATGCAATTTTCAATTGTGATTTTGGCCTCGCTATTGGCCTGCACATGGGCCGGCAATGTGCCCACCCAGCCAGCACCCAAACAATTGGTTTGCTACTATGATTCGGCCAGTTTCGTCAAGGAAGGTAAGAAAAAGGAATTACAAAAAAAAAAATTGAAATGAAATGATAAATATTTTCGTTTGGAGATTACGCAATGATGCTAATTGAAATCGGGCATTTAATTAAATTCGCAATTGAGGAGCTGTTGTAATTAACTTCAATGCTAAGTGGCGGGGTAAATATTAAATTTTGAGATGTTTCTTTTTTCTCAGAAATTTGCATTACGTAGCTGTGGTTTTGGAATGGCTGGAATGGAAGGTTGGCTGGCTGACTCGGTTTGTGTGTGTGTGTTGCAAATTCATCCGGTGTTTAAGCTATAAATCTGCCAGCAAAATATACAACGCTCATCGTTGTTATTTTTAATCACTTGACTGCAATTTACAGCTTGCATTCGGAGGTCTGCCAGTCATGCAAATGCCCTTCCCAAATTTTTGTTTAATTTCCTCCACAACTCGTGAGTTTTATTTTGGAACTTAATTTTTTTGCTTCAAATAAAAAGTCAGTATTCATGTTCCAAATAAATCTCCCTCTTAAGTGGATTATCTCGTTGACCAGTGTATTATGAAAAAAATGATAATGGGGGTCAACTGCCATTAAGTTGGGGTCTAATAGAGTGTTCTAGATTTGAATTGCTCTAAAAAGATTAACAACAAAATATGAGAGGCTTTTCCAAGAATGAAAAAAAAAAAAAAAAAAATCAAAACTTATCAAAAAATGAGAGCAAGCCATATGATTTGGAGTGATGTGGGAGTCGCAGATTGGCTTGTATTTTCTAAGAAGTCATATTTTCTAAGAAGTCTAAGAAGATAATGAGCGGAAATTCATAGAAATGTAATTGGAAATCCATAAAATGCCATTAGAAACATGGAGAGCCAAGGCATGTTGAGCTTTTGGAGCTGTGTTCGAATTATTTTGAAATTATTATTCGGGTGAGAAATTCAGTTATCCGGTCATTTGACTTGATATATCGTATCGGATTTTATACTAAACCTATAAAAACAATATGGGTATATAATTTGAAACCCTAGGAAAATACTTGTCAAAGAAGGGGTCATATGAGGTACTAATGAAAAAAAAAAACAAATAAAAAAACCCGGCCCGGCCCGGCCGAACCGAACTTTAAATACCCTCCGCCATTTGGTACAAATTCGCAATTTTCAAAAAAATAAAATCCGTTAAAAAATGCTGTTTTGATGTTTTCTAGGAGATTTTTGCTTAAATTCGTCTGAAGCACGACTTTAACCCTAAAATGTGTTTGTAATAATTTTTAGTTCCTGACCTTGAGGTTAGTTCTCGGACCTTTAGTAGAATTTCAGGAAAAATAATTCTGTGGAATATTTTGACTTCCTACGATACCGTTTAAAGGAAGTTTTTAGCCATTTTTTCAAAAAAGGACCAAAAAGACCAATTTTTTGGCTCGCTTGAGTATTAAAATTTCTTTGAATACCCTCCGCCATTTGGTACAAATTTGGCAATTAAAAAAAAAAATAATAAAATCCGTTAAAATATCTGTTAAAATCTTAAAACTACCGAATGTAGCCGTATATTAGTGTCTATACGACGACGTGGACCTGCATAGGCAACTTTTGTCATAAGCTATTGGAATATTCAAATGCGAAACTTAACAAATATCTATTTATAATGTTTAAGCATCAGAATACTGAATATAGGGAGGTACCATGGGGGTTATAAAACGTGGACATGCATAGACAATTTTCCGGCATAGGCTGTAGTATCCATTACGAACTTCAAATACCAATTTTGAAAAAATTCCGGTAAATAATGTCGCTAAAATCATCAAAATACCGAATATCGGGAGATACCGTTATATGGGGGCTATATGAAGACGTGGACCTGCACAGGCAATTTTCTGTCATAGGCTGTAGTATCCATTACGAACTTCAAATGCGAAATATGAAACAATTCCGGTAAATAATGTCGCTAAAATTATCAAAATACCGAATATCGGGAGATACCTATATATGGGGGCTGTACGAAGACGTGGAGCTGCATAGACGATTTTCTGGAGGCTGTAGTAGGCTGTAGTATCCTTTACGAACTTCAAATTCGAAATTTGAAACAATTCCTGTAAAAAATGTTGCTAAAATCAGCAAAATTCCGAATATCGGGTGGTGCCCTTATATGGGGCTTATACAAAGACGTGGGCCTACATGGCCCACTTTCAATACCAAAAGTCCTGCAGACATAATTAACATTTGAGTAAATTTTTATGAACTCACTTCATTTCGTTCGGAAGCTAGAGTGATTTCCACAGACGGACAGACGGATGGACATTGCTAAATCGACATAGAATTTTATGCTGATCAAGAATATATTTGCTTTGGAGGGGTCTAGAATGTGAATTTCGAGGGGTTACAAACGGAATGACAAACTTAATATACCCTCCATACTATTGTGGAGGGTATAACAAGTTAAAATGTACCTGCCTTTATTTCTGCAGGAAATCAGACCTATTAGAGGTATAACGTAGGCATAAGGCAATGGTCTTCTTAAAAAGGAAAAAAATAAAATAATCAACTTTTAACAGTCTTCTTAAGAAGAGAACACTTTGAAGGATCTGCTATAGAAAAAACCATTGAAATAATTTCTTTAGAAAACAAAACACTGAAAAGACCTTCTATAAACCGAGAACCTATGAGAGCAATTGTACAGGAACTAAACTTGTACCAAAATCAGTTAAAAAGTACCTGTTGGTTTGCCGACACATGCATACCCTCAACCAATGTTCGATTATTTAAATATACTTTGGACTTCTGTTATGATTATTCAAATTGTTGACCATCTATGGAGTAGGTTCCGAAGGAATGGGCCAATACTACCCATTTCATGGCGGACCTAAATAAATATGATATAAGAATTGTGACGTTCGTGGATTGAACAATATTGGTTACCTCCTTCACTGTATATGATATACAGGGTGAGATAAAAAAAAATTGCAACAAAGTCAAACGTCAAGTTTGAATAGAATCGGATGTTAACTTCGTGTTTTATGAGCTTCACGGATATTCAAAATGTTGACCCCTTGTGGGGGAGATACCAGAGGGAGTGGACCGATATATCCCATTCTCACACCAGACCTAGGTTTAATAAAAATATTGAGATGTGTGAAATATGAAGAGAATCGGATGCTTATATCGGATTTTATGATCCTTTTGGTTATTCAAAATTTCAAGCCTTTGTGGGGGAGGTACCAGAAGGAATTGTCCGATCTCTACCATTTTTATAAAAAATCTTGAGTTGATAGAAATATTAAGATGTGTCAAGTCTGAATGGAATCATATGTTAATTTCGCGTTTTATGAATTTCATGAACATTTATAATTTTGACCCCCTGTGGGGGAGGTACCAGAAGGAGTGGGCCGATGTATTCCATCTTCACAGCAGACCTTGGCACAATAAAAATATTGTGATGTGTGTAATGTGAAGGCAATCGGGCTCTTGCATCAAATTTAATAAGAGTTATAATTATTCAAAATTCTGACCCTTTGTGGTGGAGGTACTGATAGAGTGTACCGGTACAGTACATTTTCGCAAATATTAGGATTTCCAAAGTTGGAGCAAAATCGGATTATTCTTTCGCTTTCTGGCAGTCAATTATTTTCTTTGAAAATGTTGACATATTTTGTGGGGGAGGTACCAAAAGGAGGGAAAATTAAAACAGATATTTTCTTGATAATTAATGGAAATGGAGATTTTATTTCCTTGGCGACTTATAGTGAAATTTGATGGAGAATATATCTTCTTTTGACTCTGTTTGTCTAAAACGAAGTTTAATGTTACTTTGGGGCCGCAATTCGAAAAATGCCCACTTTAAAATTGATCAGAATTTTTGGAAATATTTTCGCGTTTCTTTGGCAACATTGATGTATGTATTTTCTTGATATATAATGATTTTAGATATTTCTTTTGTTCGGTGACATATAGTGAAATTTAATGGAGAATATTTTCGGCTTTGACATCATCCCTCTAAAATTATGTTTTGTAGGAAAATGTTGCTTAAATTCGTGTGAAGCACGGCTTTAACCCTAAAATGTGTTTGTAATAATTTTTAATTCCTGGCCTTTAGGTAAGATTTAGACTTTTGATGTCTTCTAGGACCTATAGTAGAATTTCAGGACAAATAATTCTGTGGAATATTTTGACTTGCTACGATCCCGTTTAAAGGAAGTTTTTAGCCATTTTTTCAAAAAAGGACCAAAAAGACCAATTTTTGTTTCGCTTGAGTGTTAAAATTTCCGAAAAAGTTATCCTCAAATTGTTATCAGAAATATTGCTAAAGTCAATATATACCTAAAATCAACGGATTCCAAGAAAACTTAATCCGAAAATGTTTTTTGGGGGCTTGAACACCCCATTTAGGCTACCTTGCGATATAAACTTTCAAAATACCGATACGCGTGACATCTATTTCTTTTTTTTTTCTTTTTGTTTTTAATTACTACATTTAATATTTCCTTCTATTTTCCAGGCCTTGCCAAAATGGTCGTTGACGATTTGGAACCCTCCTTCCAATTCTGTACCTACATCATCTACGGCTATGCCGGCATTGAACGTGACTCCTTCAAGGCAATGAGTTTGAATCAAAATCTTGATTTGGATTTGGGCAAGGGTTTGTACCGTACCGTTACCCGTCTAAAGCGTAAATATCCCAATGTTAAGGTTATGTTGAGCGTTGGTGGTGATCGTGACATTGAGACCGGCGAAGATGCCAAGGACTTGCCTAACAAATATTTGGAACTTTTGGAAAATCCCATTGGTCGTCAACGGTTCATTAACACCGTTTATGCTTTGGTCAAGACCTATGGCTTTGATGGTGTCGATATGGCCTATCAATTCCCCAAGAACAAGCCCAAGAAGGTACACAGCGGTTTGGGTGGTTTCTGGAAGGGTATTAAAAAGACTTTCACCGGTGATTTTGATGTTGATCCCGATTCGGAAATGCACAAGGAACAGTTTACCGCCTTGATGCGTGAATTGAAAAATGAATTGCGTCCCGATAACTATTTGGTCTCGGCCACAGTTTTGCCAAATGTCAATTCGTCGAGTAAGTTGGAAGTGGAATTATTTTTTGAAAAAGGGAGAATTGAAAAGTAATTTTATTTTTCTTTGAATTTAGAATTCTTTGATGTCCCGGCCTTGAACAGCTACGTGGACTTTGTCAATTTGGCTGCCTTTGACTTCTACACCCCTGAACGCAACCCCAAGGTGGCTGATATTGCCGCTCCTCTCTACCCCTTGGCTGATCGTGATCCCGCATTCAGTGTCGATTCCGTAGTCCAACATTGGTTGCGCAACGGCTTCCCCAGCACCAAGATTAATGTTGGCATCAGCACCTATGGCCGTCCCTGGAAAATGACTGATGACTCTGGGGACTCCGGTGTACCACCAATTTCCAAGGTAGAAAATGAAGCTCCCAAGGGTGAGAACACCCAAATCCAAGGTCTGTACAGTTGGCAAGAGGTTTGCCAAATGTTGCCCAATGCCAACAACATGTATGCCAAGGGTGCCAATGCCCCATTGAAAAAGGTTCTTGATCCCAGCAAAAGAAGTGGTGTCTATGCCTTCCGTGCTGCCGATAAGAAGGGCGACCATGGTGTTTGGGTATCCTATGAAGATCCCGATACAGCTGCCGAAAAGACCGCCTATTCGAAGAATTTGAATTTGGGTGGTGTTGCTTTGTTCGATTTGGAATACGATGATTTCCGTGGCTTGTGTGTCGGTGAGAAATATCCCATTTTGAGAGCCATCAAATATCGTCTACTCAACTAAAGCGCAGCGAGAGAGAGAGAGCAGGAGAAGATGATTTTGTTTTTTAGGAATTTATAAAACACTCACATTTTATGTTTTTTTTGCACTAATTTTAAGGTGTACATTTATTTTGCATAGTTTTTTTGAAAATCGAAAATAAAAAAAAAATTAAAAAAAAATGACAAGAAATTCGATAGGAAAAGGAGTGGAAATATCCACTCTTCTATGAGAAGAGCAATTGAGCATTTCTGGGAGAAGAGCAACTAAGCTTTTCTATGAGAAGAGCAATTGAGCATTTCTGGGAGAAGAGCAACTAAGCTTTTCTATGAGAAGAGCAACTGAGCTCTGCCATGAGAAGAGCACCTGAGCCTTTCTATGAGAAGAGCAACTGAGCTCTTCCACAGAGCTTCTGTAAAAAATCCACGGTTATAGATGGGGGTTAAAAAATAATTTTTAAAAAAATCCACGTTTATAGATGGGGATTGGAAAATTATTTTAAAAAAATCCACGTTTATAGATGGGCCTCAAAAAATTGTTTTAAAAAAATCCACGTTTATAGATGAGGATTGGAAAATTATTTAAAAAAAATCCACGTTTATAGAAGAGGATTGGAAAATTATTTTAAAAAAATCCACGTTTATAGATGAGGATTGGAAAATTATTTTAAAAAAATCCACGTTTATAGATGGGCCTCAAAAAATTGTTTTAAAAAAATCCACGTTTATAGATGAGGATTGGAAAATTATTTTAAAAAAATCCACGTTTATAGATGGGCCTCAAAAAATTGTTTTAAAAAAATCCACGTTTATAGATGGGCCTCAAAAAATTGTTTTTAAAAAATCCACGTTTATAAATGGGCCTTGAAAAATATATTTTTTTTAAATACTGCGTTTAAAGATGGACCTTAAAAATTATTTTTAAAAATCCACGTTTATAGATGGGCTTTGAAAAATTATTTTTAAAAATCCACGTTTATAGATGGGCTTTGAAAAATTATTTTTAAAAAATCCACGTTTTTAGATGGACCTTGAAAAATTATTTTTAAAAAATCAACGTTTATAGATGGGTCTTGAAAAATTATTTTTAAAAAATACACGTTTATAGATGGGCCTTGAAAAAATATTTTTTAAAAATCCACGTTTATAGATGGTCCTTGAAAAAAATATTTTTTTTTTAAATCCACGTTTACAGATGGGCTTTGAAAAAATATTTTTAAAAAATCCACGTTTATAGATGGGCCTTGAAAAATTATTTTTAAAAAATCCACGTTTATAGATGGGCCTTGGAAAATTATTTTTAAAATATCCACATTTACAGATGGGCCTTGGAAAAAATATTTTTAAAAAATCCACGTTTATAGATGGGCCTTGGAAAATTATTTTTAAAAAATCCACGTTTATAGATGGGCTTGAAAAATTATTTTCAAAAAATCCACGTTTATAGATGGGCCTTGAAAAATTATTTTCAAAAAATCCACGTTTATAGATGGGCTTTGAAAAAATATTTTTAAAAAATCCACGTTCATAGATGGGCTTTGAAAAAATTATTTTTAAAAAATCTACGTTTATAGATGGGCCTTGAAAAAATATTTTTATAAAATCCACGTTTATAGATGGGCCTTGAATAAATATTTTTGAGAAATCCACGTTTATAGATGGGCCTTGAAAAATTATTTTTAAAAAATCCACGTTTATAGATGGGCCTTGAAAAATTATTTTTAAAAATCCACGTTTATAGATGAGCCTTAAAAATTTTTTTTTAAAAATCCACATTTATGGATGAGCCTTGAAAAAAAAAATTAAAAAATCCACATTTATAGATGAGCCTTGAAAAAATATTTTTATAAAATCCACGTTTATAGATGGGCCTTGAATAAATATTTTTGAGAAATCCACGTTTATAGATGGGCCTTGAAAAATTATTTTTAAAAAATCCACGTTTATAGATGGGCCTTGAAAAATTATTTTTAAAAATCCACGTTTATAGATGGGCCTTGAAAAAATATTTTTAAAAAATCCACGTTTACAGGTGAGCTTTGAAAAATTATTTTTAAAAAATCTACGTTTACAGATGAGCTTTGAAAAATTATGTTTAAGAAATCCACGTTTATAGATGGGCCATGGAAAATTATTATATTCTGAAAAAATATTTTCCATTGGATGGTGATCAAATATTTAAAAAAACTGCCTTATATTAGCATACCTTTCTGCCTTCTCACGGACCTCCCTGAAACCATATTTCGTTTTAAGAATTTCGATCTTAAATTTCCTCGAACAAATTAATATGCAGTTGGGGTTTAATATTGAAGTTTCCCCCTTAACACTTTATGCACATCCCGATATTCGTGCCATAATTCAAACACATTAGAACTTCTTCCATGGAATTCCACTAATTTTAGCTTCACATGAAATGTCTGGGAGGAAGACATCATCATCATCATCGTCGTCGTTGTCGTCATCATTAGAATGTTGGCAAACGGAAACATTCTAACATTGAAAGGATATGCTTTTCATCCTTTATGTAGTTGCTAGTTTTGTTGTAGCTGTTGTTAGGCGGTGGAAAATATTGCGGTATAGTTTTGAACTATGGAGAACGACGACCACAAAGAAGAACCTGCCATTGACAGCTATAATTTTTGCTCCAGGCACAGCAATTAAAATTTATAAAATATAACACAAGTCTTTCAATGTATGGCGGTTTGTTTAGGGAATTCCATCATATATTCGTGTGCGCAAGGATGGGCAAAGGACACGATAGCTCGGTTGTGTGTATGTGTTAACTACCTTGCGGGATTTTGGTTTATTGTCCGTGAAACATTTGTGCTTTCCCATCGACCAAAAATGTCAGACATAAAATGTAAAGGTGCTGCGTGCCTTTCACAGCCATAATGAGGTTTCATAAGGAGAGATTGTTCGAGGGGCAGTAGAAGGGGTCCAAAAGGATTATTACGTCGGTTGAATGGTAAGTATTTGGGGGAGAGCTTTGAATAATTTATTACGACAAGACTATTGGAGATTTGAAAAGAGGAAAAACGGTTTGTCAAACTTAAGAGGACAAAATAATTATAGATCATTTGGTTGTGACTGGGTGACAATCCATCATGTAACGTGGATTTTTTACGCCCATCTATAAAAACATTTTTTCAAAGTTAAGTTCAAAGCTTTTCTAAACCAGCGAAAGGGGGGATTTTTTAAAAATATTTTTTTCTAAGTCCATCTATAAACGTTATAAAAATTATTTTTCAAAGCCTATAAATAAACGTGGATTTTATACAAATTATTTTTCAAGGCCTATCAATAAACGTTGATTTTATAAAAGTTATTTTTCAAAATCCATCTATAAACATGGATTTTATTAAAATATTTTTTCAAGACCCATCTATAAACGTGAATTTTATAAAAATTATTTTTCAAAGCCTATTAATAAACGTGGATTTTATAATAATGATTTATCAAAGCCTATCAATAAACGTGGATTTTATAAAAAATATTTTTCAATAAACGTGGATTTTATAAAAATTATTTTTCAATAAACGTGGATTTTATAAAAATATTTTTTCAAGACCCATCTATAAATGTGGATTTTATAAAAATTATTTTTCAAAGCCTATCAATAAACGTGGATTTTATAAAAATATTTTTTCAAAGTCCATCTATAAACGTGGATTTTATAAAAATATTTTTTCAAAGTCCATCTATAAACGTGGATTTTATAAAAATATTTTTTCAAAGTCCATCTATAAACGTGGATTTTATAAAAATATTTTTTCAAAGTCCATCTATGAATGTGGATTTCTTAAAAATATTTTTCAAGACCCATTTATAAACGTGGATTTTATAAAACTATTTTTTCAAAGTCCACCTATAAACGTGGATTTTATAAAAATATTTGTAGGAAGTCCATCTATAAACGTGGATTTTATTAAAATATATTTTTTCAAGACCCATCTATAAACGTGGATTTTATAAAAATATATTTTCAAGACCCATCTATAAACATAGATTTTATAAAAATCTTTTTTCAAGACCCATCTATAAACGTGGATTTAATAAAAATATTTTTTCAAGACCCATCTATAAACGTGGATTTAATAAAAATATTTTTTCGAAGTCCATCTATCAACGTGGATTTTATAAAAATATATTTTCAAGACCCATCTATAAACATAGATTTTATAAAAATCTTTTTTCAAGACCCATCTATAAACGTGGATTTTTTAAAAATTATTTTTCAAGGCCCATTTATTAACGTGGATTTTTTAAAAATAATTTTTTCAGAGTCCATCTATAAACGTGGATTTTATAAAAATATTTTTTCAAGACCCATCTAAAAACGTAAATTTTATAAAAATATTTTTTTCAAGACCCATCTAAAAACGTAAATTTTATAAAAATATTTTTTCAAGACCCATCTAAAAACGTAAATTTTATAAAAATATTTTTCAAGACCCATCTAAAAATGTGGATTTAATAAAAGTATTTTTATTAGTGTATAATCGGTTGCTTCTTTTAATTCCTTGCTTTTTATCTAAAAATTGTTCCATGTTCCTTTTAACACTTCATTTCATATCGTTTAATTCATTTTATTTAAAAAAAAAACTTTTTTCATTCCCATATTGCCACCGAGCCCCTTGAGAGAGTTTCAAAAGTTGCCTGAAAGTATGCTTTAGTTTTTGTGTGTTTATTTCCATGGCGTTTGCTTAACCCTTAACCGTTCAATGCAATCTTTTTTTTTTTGAAATACGAGAAAAATTTGCTTTCCACTGCTTTCGGAAACTAGAATAAGATATTGTAAAGCAATTGGCCTGGCAGGAAAGAACTTTCATTGATTAATAAACAATTAATAGCGAAAAATGGGGCACAAAAAAGAAATGAAATAAAAGACGAAAAAAAAGAATAAAATGTAAAGAAAATCCATTGGTAGTTTTGTAGGGCAATTTGTTGCAAATACCTGGTGAGGTGGGAGCAGAGTTTTAAGAAAACTTCGAAGAGGTGAAAGTTCATTGTGTTTTTGGTGTTGTTTTTTATTTCCGAACCAATAATTCAATTTAACAACTTTTTAAGAATAAAAAGTTTTTTTTTGGTTGATTCTGTATTTGCTAAAGATGTAAACTTTAAACAAAGTGAGAGGGGTTATGAGAGAGATCGTAAGGGGGAACCATGTAAGTTTGGTATTTTCT